AATATATTAAAAAAATCAATTTTTGATAAAAATGAAATTTACAGTATGCATGTTTACCTTTTGCGTTTTCTAGTTATTGTATATGTTGATTAAAAAAATTAAAATAAGAAAATCGAAAGATTTATGTTCTATTTAGAATTGTTATATAAAATAATTTTAAAATAAATTATCATATAAAAATATATATTAGATATTAAAAATATGTTTATATCATAAATAAATTAAGCTTGATTTTTATAAAATTTAACATATTTATTTTATATTTTTAATAGTGTTAAATTATTATAAAATAGGTCTTTAGGATTGTAGTTCTAACCAAACATTTAAAAAATGTCTATGATAGATAAATAAGTCATATTTAGGATATATATTTTTAAAGAAAGTTAGGTTCAAACCTATTAAATTATAATAAAATTTAGTCTAACCTAATTTATTTTCATTTTTACTTGTAATCATAGATATAAAAACTTGTAAAAAATAATTATAATATATTTATACTTTTAAAAGTTATATACAAAGTTTTTAATATTACAAATATATGAATAAGTATTGCTCTCACTATCTAAAATTTCTGGATCCGTCACTGTACATAACCTATTGAATATTCATATATAAGATAAATAACATTAAATAAAATGTAATTATGATAAAGAACAAATAATGGTATTATTGTTTAACTTGTAGAGCTTAACAAAAGTCGTAAGATTACGCTTCTGATATTGCAATATATGTAACTAGGCTGTGCTGCAATGCTATGTAGTATTCACCTAATCGGTCCACAAGCAGGCTTTGCGTGTATGACCAGTGCACACAAATGTTATCACAAAGCAATTTTTCCTTTCACAATCAATATCTACCATTATTCCATAAGCATAAACCTGCATTGGACTCCACAATGTGGAAGATAGATAGAAAAAGAGAAAGAAAAGAAAGTGTATATTTGTAATTTTATCGACCAAGTAAAAAAAGTATTTGTTAAAATCCTCAAAACACAAGGAAAATCACCATTTACTCTTTACACATAAGAATATTATTCAAGCTTTAAACTCATGAAAAATTATTTACTATTATTTTTTTACAAAACAAGAAGGTGAGATATATGGTAATAAAAAAACTAGCATATAACTTTCTCATTTAAAAGTAAAAATAAAAATAAAATTTTATTTTAAGTCTCAGTCATGGTTAACTTACTCGGTCTAGTCACTTTTTAGACCATTTTTTTAAGAGTTAATCATTTATACACTGTCAGTGTAAAGTTTTTTTACACTGACAACCAATCATATCTTTTAATAGTGACATGTCAATTGCTTATTTAATGAAATAATAATAAAATAAGTAACTTTAAATGATATGATTGGTTGTCAGTGTAAAAAAATTTACACTGACAATGTAAGGATGATTAACTTTTTTTTAATTACTAAAAAATACATGGATGATGAAAGATTCTTAATTTAAGTATGCTTTGTTATATATCTAATTTTTAATTATTACATCATAAATTCATTAAGTACTTTTGAAAATAATTATCATAATAGTTACATTTAATATGATTTCTAATAAGTTGACCGCATGAAAATATTGAAAATACATAAAATTTAAGTCGTAAAAAAAATAGCATTTGAAAGTACATGAAAGTATAGTAGCAATTGGATATAGAAAGTGAAATAGGTGTTGGATGGATTACGTGTGTAGTAGATATTTACAATAATATTACACTTAGAGGAAGGTCAATTCTTTGTGGGGTATGTGTTTGATGACTTTGATCAACACATTCAAACTCATCTCTGGAAGAGGATGGAAGCCTTCAAGCCTCCTCTTTAATGCTTATTACTCAAAGGACCGACCAACGCTATTAATTTTTAAGAATGCCTATATATCATTTGTTCAAAAATTTAAGGATTTTCAACGATACCAAAATGCTTAGCTATTGTTTTATTTAAAAATTAATGAAGCATATGACTTTTTGTTATCCAATAAATTAGGATATACTATTCTTTTTATGCCACTCTCAACACCACCAAATTTCAAAATTATCTACTCCTCCCTTCTTTTTCTTTTTTAATAAGTTTTTCATATAAAATATTTATCGATTTTGTCCATATCTAATTTTTATATATATAAAAAAAATTGACTTATTACTTTTAGTAAATATCTTTTTTGAATAATATTTTTTTCATCTCAAAGCCAATACCTTTTTTTTCTTCTTTTTTTTAAGAAATTGAGTTCAATTTTACTTAAATATTAACAATTGGTACACTCTCTTCTCTTTGATAGCATTTTTGGACATCCATTTTTCTCCTTTCTTTCATTGGTTCTTACGATAAAATTTTCTATCATGTACTTAACATTTACTATGATATAATATCATTTTATCCAAAAATATATTATAGGAATACAATTTGTATATGTTTAGATTATAATTAGAAAATTAAGTTAAATTGAACTTATAACTTTTCAAACTAACTTAAAAAAAAAAAGTAATATTTTGATTTAATCAAGATTTATTTGTATGTATAATTTACTCTCAACAGAATGAAAAAAAACATTTTCAAACATGTAGACATTACATTAAAAATCAGCTAATATTACGAGTTTCAAACGTGTAAGCAATGTAACCAAACATTGCCTTTGTCTTTGTAATGTGGTGTTGTATCATAATGTTCATGAAACTCACCCTTTGAGTAGTTGCATAGGAGATCGTTATCCTTTCACAGAAGAGGGGGCAATTAAGATGAATGGAAAGTGACAGAACCTTAAGTACTAACACACCATTTCAGTACATGGCACAGCTTGGACACATGGTTAAGAGGAACTGTTCGCTGCTCCTCATAAAGAAGCAAACACACTCTCTCCGTGCATATTACAAGATGAAAAAGAAAGGAAAAATACTCATGAAATCATGAACCAGCTATTTATTCAAACAAAATTTAACCTTTTTATTAATACTATATAATCACTTTTCAAGCTACTTTTGATTATTTTGCGTTATTGATCTAAGTAGTCCAATCCATCCCATCAGCCCAAAAAAGCCAAAAAGATAACAGAAGAGGCTGAAATTTGACACTACTGAAAAGTAAAAGCATTACTTCTTAAGGAACCTGATAGAACAGATATAGTTCATTGTCACATGACCTTGATATATATGTACACATAACAATTTCAATATGCATAATAATCGATTCAGGGGGTGAATTGATCATATATCTTTACAAGCTTATAACAAGTACAAATTAAATATTTATCCCGCACGATACCAGACATGTAACCACAAATCATTATTCATTTGTTCCAGATTCTCTAAACATTCCCCAAAAGCTAGCAACAGCCTTACCAAAATCTCTAACCCTCTGTGCATCCTTACGGTATTTTCTGCTCTTCTCAGTGATAATTTCATTTATTGTTAGCTGTCCGCTAAATTTTGGCAGTACCACACATTCAATTTTATTTGTAGATCGAAGCAAATGGGAATATATAAAAAAAAATGAAAATGAAAATAAGCATCAAACTATTCGTTGCAAAATAATTAATGTCATAATTAAGTTTGCTTTGAATTTTATGTTTGTTAGGGATTTCAATTTTATTAAATCAAAAGAATAGATTAGAAAGAAAAGTATACACTCCTCTTTGAACCTCAATTTATGATTAGATGTCGATCAAATTCGTCTGTAAAAATGTAACATGGTGATTGATTGATTAGTGTGGTAACGATATCAGTTGAAGGGAAGTTAAAGAAAAGGGTAAGAAATATTAAATTTGATTAAGTTTTGGTGAGAAGGTGCCACGTGACTCAGAAAAAGGAAAAGAGAGAACCCCTCGCTGACTTTGGTTTTAACATTGACTGCATAATTATACAGGTAGTAAAAGAGTTAGGTGACTTAGCAAGGTAGATGAAGGATAGTAAAAGTGCTTAGTTTCCTTTCATCAAAGTCATGGAGTATATAAAGCACTCACATGCATTGGTACTATTTGCAAGCTCTATTGGCAAGTTAAGGCTAGCTAGAAAAGGAGAGTGAGTAGTGAGTTGTGAGGCACAAGTTGGAGTGAAAAGATCCCATGGGGAGGCCTCCTTGCTGTGACAAAGTTGGCATCAAGAAAGGTCCATGGACACCTGAGGAGGATATCATCCTTGTCTCTTACATCCAAGAACATGGTCCTGGAAATTGGAGATCAGTGCCTACTAATACTGGTAATTAATTAATTAATTAACTCAATCCAATTATATATATATGTATGTATGTCCTAATGTAATATATTCAATTCCTTTTGATTTCTTATTTTGTTAGTAATTAAGCTAAAGTACATATACTATGAAATTTAGTGGCTTCTTCTTGATCTATTTACTTTTTGGTTTGGAATGAATCAATGATGAGAATTTGAATCAAACTGATCATATATAGTTGAAACCTTTCTTGAAAAGGGTTGTCAAGGTGCAGCAAAAGTTGCAGGCTTAGATGGACTAATTACCTCAGGCCAGGAATCAAGAGAGGGAACTTCACTCCCCATGAGGAAGGAATGATAATTCATTTGCAAGCTCTACTGGGTAACAAGTAATCCTCAAACATCACAATTTTCTTTACTAAACTCATCGGCCACATGATAATATTGAAGTTCACATACTTTTTTCATTAATTAATTTTTTATGAAAAAAAATCAAATCAAAAGAATTTGTTATATATGCATATGATATGTCGTCTGAATTTGTGAAGCTGTTAATTATTATTGAGCAGATGGGCAGCCATAGCTTCTTATCTTCCACAAAGAACAGATAATGATATAAAGAATTATTGGAACACTCATCTAAAGAAGAAGCTGAAGAAATTTCAAGCAGCCTTAGATCCTCACTCAGCATCAGACTCAACAACCAGTGGCCAGTATCTACCAAAGAGCTTCAATGACAGAAGAAGTTTAGACATGAGCAGCAACAACAACAATCATGCTTCATCCCTTAGGCTTAATCAGTCTCAGTCCTCCACATATGCCTCAAGCACTGAGAACATCTCAAGACTCTTGGAAGGTTGGATGAGATCTTCCCCAAAGCCACTCAAGGGGTCTCAAGATGAAGATCTCCAAAGCAATGATGACAACAACATGGAAAGCACTAAGCTAGAGAAGTGTGCATCAGTAGTGCCTGCTTTGAATAACCTTCATCTTCAGCACAAGAAGAACAAAGATGACCATGAGGGTGGTGTAGATATGGTGTCACATGAAGAGTTTGATTCCATTTTGTCCTTTGAGAACCTAAACAATGCTGCCTGGGACAAGTCCACTTGTGATTCCATGCCTGAAAAGAGTTCTGAAGCTGCTGCTGATGAATCTGCTCATGATGATGAGAGGATTAATAGGCAAAAATCTGAGAACAACAACAATAATAGTGCTCCTCCTTTGTCATTTCTTGAGAAGTGGCTTTTGGACGAAAACGTTGGTCATGCGGAGGAGATGATGGAGTTATCTCCTATGTTCTAACATGGAAAAATCACCAATCCCTATAAGTTTGGGATGTGACATTCAAAATCATGATGATTAGTCAGATGAAACAAGAGAAAGGAAACTCTTTGAGATCTGACTAGGGTTTGATCCATTACATGGGTTGAGATTCTGAGAAGCTAGGATCGATCGATCTCCTTCAACTTGTAACTTGAAAGTTTATGAATGGTTTAATTATTTCAAGTAATACTATGCTTTGTGCATGTTGTTCTTTGTCTTGTAGAAAACTACAAATTAATGTTAACTTCAGCCCAAATAATATTACAGTAACAGTTATATTTAAAGATTTGACAAAATTTTATTATTATTTGGTGGTAAAATATTTGCATGGAGGTACGCTTTGAAACTTGTAAGTTTATTATTTTATTAATATATTGTTTCTTTTCCCATTTCTGATTTCTGGTGGTATGGAGAATTGTACATTGATATTTGATAACGGCCAAAAGAGGAAATGGAAGATGAAAAAATGAAGGACACTTTACTACTGTGGAGAACGATTATGCATATGTCTTAATTAGCATATAGCAACTCAATTGTCAATAATTGATGTAGAGTGGAAAATTTGATGTGACCAGAGTGTCCAAGTGTACAAGTTAATGGACACAAAAAAATCTTAGATGTTGTGGTCTATATGCTTTATCGGCCTACACTATGGATTCTTAGGCTAAACCATAGTTGAATTATTAAATAATAACTGCAAATCAGTTAAATAAATAAAAACAACCCATAAAACTTGAGTGAAACGGGATTCTTATTCTTTAAGTAATTTTTTTTAAAGTAGAAAAAATTACAAAAATATTCGCAACGAGAATTGAACCTAGATTATCATACTTTAACTACCCTAATTCCTCTCCACCTAACCACTAGACTAACCCTAGTAGTTTATTCTTTACGTAGTTGAAAGAGAAGACGTATTTTAATTAAAATAGTTGGTCGAATTTCGAGAAATTAGTTTTTGTCAAATGTTAGTAAATATTTAGCTTGTATAAAATGGTTAGAAAAAATTATGATAGCACCCGTTAATTTTCATTGTTATTTTTTCGAATAATGATTTATAGAAATGGCATCTAAATTTCAGATCTTACAAGGGATAGTTTGGTAATTCCGGCAAAAAATAAAGATGGGGTCGGTGTCATTTGAACCGTAAGACTCAAGCTATTTTTCATTAATGGATTTTTTGGTACGTAAGAAAAAAAAATGTTGAGAAAGAAACTTGAATTCTATTTTCAGTAGTTTACTTAAATAAATAAAAAATAAAAAGAGAAAACGAAATGTGAAATATTTATTATGAATGGGTTTTCGTTTCCCTTTTCTCTAATTTGCAAAACTCAAAATAACACATTCACACACAAATTTAGTTATATTTTCTTCTGTGGTTTTAGTGTTATCATTTAATACAACTTTTTTGAATACATATTATCATAATTAAACGAATTTTAGTTAAAGATGGAAATACCGAAGATCATATACTAAGTTTTTTTTTTTTTTTCCCAATTTTTGTTTTATCTCCATACTCTTGTTGTTTTGATATAGCCATGTGTAAGATGCTGAGAAGCACCATTAATTAGATTTATATTTTAGTTATGCGAGATGGGACCATGAATGGCATTTTACTAATTATACTAATTAAGCATAAAATGAGCTCTACAAAAGAGGAAGGATAGCCATATCTGAGTGAAACATGATGCTGTCACGAAAGTCTTGCTAGCAAATAAGGGAAATGAGTGAATGAAACTCCTTTTCTTTTGGAAAGAATTGGTATGGGAAGCATGTGATCTTCCTTTTACCTTTCGGTGTGAGAAGCTGGCTACCATTGCTAATATCATGCCTGCCGTATATGCTTATAACTTTCACAAGATGCAACAAATATTTATGGCCCTTCACTCCTCTGCTCCTATGCTGCATGCAACCATCAACTTTCAACCCAACCTGCTCCAATCATATTGCACCACCTGTGTAATCTTCCCTTATTTTTAAGCACCTTCCTCTTTTTTAAAATACCATTTTCATTTATTATATATTTTACTTTTTTAAAAATATTAATCATTTCAATTATAAAAAAGTATATGGGGAAGGATTAACCCAATTAGTTATGTAATAGTTAGACACTTTGTACTCACACGTTATGAAGACAATTTATCTAATGAGAAATCTCGTTATGTGCAAAAACTCTTTAGTAACAATAACAATATCATGAGTAGAAAAATTAATTTGTGACCTAATGAATCAAGTATTAGAACAAAAAGAAATGTCAAAAGGTTGTTTCAATTACTTAAACAATAATTTCAAAGTCAATTCCTAACATATACAACTATGATAAATACTCGAAGGAAGATGTTTGTCGCTTATAATAATTATATCTGATTTGAGTAAAATTATTTTTAGTAGATAAAATGTGTGACCTAGAAAAAACAAATACATCTGTAATAGACTATATTATATTAGTAGTGTAAAACATTCAATTGACTGAAAATGTAATAAATGAAAAATAACAGAGTGGTTTTCTAAAATTATTTATATTTAATATCTTTAATTCATAAAAATTTAAGTGATTTACATGTTAAAATGGAAGTGAAATCTAAAATGATATTTTCATTCTAAAAAAAAAAGCGAATAGTTGTAATAATTATTTTAAAAAATTGATAATTGAAATTTTGGTTGAAAATATACCCATATAACTAATTATACAAAGATTTAAAAAGATATGATGAAATATTAGTTATTAACTTTGAACCACTGCTTATGTCTAAAAAAAACAGAGTTGACTTTTTAATATATCATTATAATTTTCTCTTTTTTATTATTAAAAAGTATTCTCTCATCAAATACAAATATTAATCTCTGTTAATAGTCTAACCCTTCATAATCATGCAACTTTTTTATTTTAATCTTCAAACTTCAAAGTGAATTTATCATAATGAAACTAAATAAAAGAAAAACCTACCATCTCGTAATTAATAACGCTGTTAAGAATTGAATGAACAGTAATTGAGAACAACAATGTAGCAACCTCTAACGGTAATAATATTTTTATTGGGTAATAATAACGGCAATAATTTGATGTTAATTAAATTTGTGGATAGCCCACCTTGACTTTAAGACTATATTTAATGCAGCAGCTTTAAGACTAAATGCGGCATGTTGTGATTGGCAGTGTACAACTATAGATGAGGTGCATCATTTAATAATTTTTTTTTTATTTTCAAAACAAAATAATAACAAGAGCAAAATTTATTGTAACTATGCATGCGCAGTGAATTCCAAACGTGAAAACAATAATTTTCTGTAACTTGTAGGTAGTGCACAGTGTCACCTACTATATCTTTATTTCAAATCAAATCACACATTGCCAATAAAATTAGGGTTTAAACTTTAATGCTAATATACTGGTATTAAATTAATTTTATATTATTAATTAATATTCAACAAAACTAATATCTTTTGAAAGTTGGATAGTCATTAAATATATAAATATTTTTTTTTTACTTTAAGCTTTTTTACTTACACAATAGATAAGATTCGAAGTTCAATCACTTGATTAAGTAATGAGAGTTACTTATATCAACTCAAGTTACATAATTATTAACACAATTGATGTCCTTTTATTTATGTTTCTTGAGAGTATTTAACCTCTCTCTTGGAACATTACTACCATATATATGAAGGGGTGGTTAGATTATTAGAGTCTTGTTTTAGCTAAAGGAAAGAAAAATGTGAAGGAGAGAGAAAGCATGTGAGTGACGTGAGGTAGCAGAAAAGTAAAAAAGTGAAAACTGAAGTAGTAACGGCAAATAAATGAATATGTAGGGTTGTGGTGGAGGAGTGTTGGATCATTTATGTTGTTGTGATGAATATATATGCCCCGTAGGCCACACCCTTTTCTTCATTGCCTACTTTTCTGGGTAATCAAAAAGTGGGGTACCCTATTTTTCTGCCCTAATAAAATGTTGTTTTTCATGCTAAATCTCTTAGTATATGGTAGTATATTTACTCATTCTGACTCATTCCGCTGCAACCATTAATATTATAACATAGCCAATTCACAAACTGGTGGTGACATTCAAGACATTCACTCTCTCACTTTGGTTCTTTACCCTATATACTTTAATTGTACTAGACTTCCCACGTTTTTATTTTATACATTGCATACTTTGTCTTGAAGAAATAATATTATTAATAAGTAATGTAGTACTTTTTTATCTCGTTAAGAATACCAATAATGAGAAAATTAAGGGATTGCAGTTGAAAATTTTTGCCTTTGAATAATAATATGAGCAATTAAGTTAACTTTGTTGTATGCATGTGTATATATATAGTCTATCATAGGATGAATGTCAGTCACTGTCATCCGAGAAACCATGAGAAAAACTGTACGGTTTTAATGCTGTCTATCATATCAGGAGGGGATTCTGATCCCAGATCTGCTTCTTTGTACCATACACTGTGAAATTGCATTTCTAAGATTACCCCTAAATTAATTCTAATTTCTTTCATGAACTCTATTGAAAACAGAAATTAAATTGCATAGGCATTCTTTTCATATATTTTTTTTTGCTTTTTCAGATTGTAAAAACTCCTATTGCATACCAGGGAAGACAGCCATTTTAATCAATGAAGATAAAGACAGCATTTAGTTTCACATGTCAATAATTAAAAGAAAAAAACAGAATATTTGTAAAATATATATGCCATGTACCCTACCTGTAAGGGATTTCCAACCTCAAGTTAAAATGATTTTTTATTAACATAATTATATATCAACATATAACTTATCTTCTTTATTAAGTAGGGTCAACCTTAATATATATATATATATATATATATATATATATATATATATATATGTATATATTGTATAAGATACTTATTGATCGAAAGTGGAGAATTAATTTATTAAGATACGAAGATTTATTTAATAGATTGATCGACTTTTCTTAATAATGTTCATGTATACACATAAACTAAAGGATCAAACGCTGATAACATGTATTAATGTATAAAAAAAATATAATTATTTATATATTAAAAATAACTATTATTTTAGTTTGTCTGATGCACAAGATAATTTTTAATTTTATATAATTAAA